GGCGTTCCTGCATTGCTCGCACGCGACAACCCCCCCCCCACCCCCCACCACTAGTCTGTGCAAATTTCCATCGCAATACTAATCTACTAATTCTTCCCCGCTGTATCATAGAGTCACATCAAGTATTGTCGGGTCAATGGCTCACCGCGTGATGAAAGCAACGAGGCTTGCAGGCCAAGAGAGCACGCAATTTCCTGTGGCGGTCATTGCCTGCAGTCGATGACGTAACCAATACACAGGCGTGCGTTATATTGCCGGCAGATATCGCAGTGCTGACACCGCAGCTCATACTATCAGGAATTAATAAAGTCAAACTTTGTCTTTATTACTCCTGATAGTATTTATTCTCAGATAGGAATGCTGCATAAACTCAGCAACATTCTATTAGATCAGGCCAGATCATTGCGAATATATAAACGTACCCATACATCAGTATGAAATAATGGGGGTACATTATATATATATATATATATATATATATATATATATATATATATAATTATACATAAATATATATATATATATATATATATATATATAAGAATATTAAATATGGAGTATATTATATATATTTATATATATATATATTATATATTATATAAATTATTTACATATATATATAACCTATCTCTCTCTCTCTCTCTCTCGCTCACTCACTCTCTCTTTATCTATCTCTCTCTCTCCCTTTCTTTCTCTCTCACTCTCTCTCTATTTCTCTCTGTATAGCGATAACAACGACAGCAGAACGCGCGGCACAAATACGTACAGAAATATCACCAGTCAATTTTGTCTCATTAACTCCTGATATAATCTAATGCGAACTTTCCTCTAGAATGCCAGTCATTTGACTCGGACGTGCAGCTGAGGCCGTCGTCAGACAGTGGCGCCCCCTACAGCGCCGCCCCCACATCGCCGCCGCGGCGCTACGGTAGCTACGACCCCGTGCGTGCGGCAGCTGACGTCACGCGGTCACCGCGGCCGGCCGACGGTCACTACCCGAACATCTGTGTCCAACGACACAACCACAGCATATCCGTGCCCACCGTGCGCGTGCTCATCGACGCACCGGCGCCCCCTGGCGGCGACACCGCGCCGCGACCTCGGTGCGATCCCGACGCGGCCATGTTTGAGTCGGCGCGGGTGAACGGGACCCCTGAAGTGAATCGCGGAGAGGTGCGCGTTCCCGCCGACGCGGCGGACACTAGTGCGCGCTGCGGCCGCCAGGTGGCGCCCGACGTGACGGCGGCGGCGCAGCTGTCGGCGAGCGCGCGGCGGCAGCGCTGGAGTCGATCGCATCGCTCCTCGAACCGCAGCAACACCTCCAGCGACAGCCAGGTGGAGCCACCTGCAGCCGCCGCCGCTGACAGCTCGTCGATCGACGAGGGCGCCACTCTGCTGGCGCCGCCTGGCGGCGGATACTGCGCGGTTGCCGTGCCGTACTGCTGGCCGACCGCGGGCGACGGTGCTGCCGCCGCCGCGCAGGACGCGAACAGCAGCAGCAGCAGTAGCAGCAGCTGCAGTCTGTCGTTCCCTCACTCGCCCGTGCTGCGGCACCGCGACTACGCCCACCACCTGCACGTGGACGGCACCGTGTTGTGATGTCGTCACACCACAGGCGGCCGCCAACGCACGTTGTGATGACGTCATACAGCGACCACCTACGCACGTTGTGATGACGTCATACAGCGACCACCTACGCACGTTGTGATGACGCCGCGTGTCGTCGCGAGTGTCCATCCATTTGTACATGCCAACGCACGCGCGCTCCTCGCATCACGGCACCCCCACGCTGCGGGACTGTTGCCTAGGCAACGTATCTAGAGCGCAGCGTGTGAAGGCAGCTTCTTTCTAAACGTGTTAGAAGGTTAGGGTGTGCATCAGACCGCCCCTGACTACGAACGCCACCTGGTGGTGTTCACGCGCGTGAATATTTTGGTAAATATGTGTATAACTCGTGTTTTTCTCTCCGTGAGTGTCGTTGAATGGTGACGACGGGAGTCGTTAAAGTGACCAGTTCGTCTGCTGCGTTGCCATGGCAGCGAACTTTTATTTTAGCGGAGAGGGTCTCGGACTGATCATGTTATTACGAAGTCGCGTTGTTGTTATTCCTGGAAGTCCTGGAACTATTGCTGCATGCTGTGATTCGAAACCTCTTGCTGCGAGTTCTATCTGTTAGAGCTGTCAGGAACGTACGGCTCACTTGTTTTTGTGTTTCCGTGTATATACTACGTCAGAGCCCGTACGTCATATATGGTATACGTGCTCTGACTACATGTAAGCCGGGGTGAGGGGGGAATCTTTACTTACGCAGTGCTGCGCATGCGCTAGTTATATATGATTTCTGTCGCTCGCGATCGCGTATTAATAAAATGACGTCACGACTTGTAAATATGAAACCGCGGTATATATCTGCTCGACAGACAGACGGACAGACAGAAATAGGGGTGCAGCTATGGCCTGTATGGCCTATGTGCTGTTATGTACCGACATCGACCGATTGCTTTTGCTTTAAATTGCCGGCAATTAGCAGTCATAGTGAATGGGTGGGAATTGGGGAAAGATGAATAGGATGAAAGCGAGGATGAGTAAGAACTCGTTCTGCTCCAATCGTGGTGCAAACAGAGTAAAGAATAGGTGCGGTGTTATGTACGTTCATTCGACCAGAAGTCGTATATCAAGATTAGCTCATTTAGATTTAGTTTAAAAGATGCATTTTGCCGGTGAATTCGGCAGCATTTTACAAGTGCGTCTCATGCCAAATGGGGGGTGCGCTATATTGTGTGTGTTATTTGTGTGGTTCGGGCGTCGAAGCATGGATTAGCCAAATATGGTAGTGCTCACTAACGCCTCCGGTAGGAAATTGAATATAAAATATTTTCGAAAGCTCTCACCGATGGTGTTTCACTGTCGACACGAAATGCGTTTAACGACAATGTGTGCAATTATTTCGTCATGAGTTCTCATCTACCTGTCCCAGTCTAGTAATGGTAGCTACTCATTTTAGGTTGCACTCCATCATATCTACTGGACTGGTCAACGTAAGGTTAGGCGATTCGCTTAAAGCCCCTCGAAGACGATTTTAAAAATGAGCAACTTATTTGTACGCGGCATCAGCCAATAGGAGACGAGTATTTCGATAGGTGGGCCGTCCACACACTCGCTGTTTCACTACAACATCCATTTAAATCAGATTTTTCTATTTATCGGTATTTATGTGTTCTAAGACGTGATTTTTATCAGGCGTGCAGCACAATTGATGCGAAGCAGAAAAACGAGGTCTTTTAATATGTAAAAAACGAGTAAATTCGATATGTCAGGGTTTGGAGGTCAGGAATGTCGTCTAGCGGACGTAAGGGGCTTTAACGGTTTATTCCCGGTTGGCCTACTCACCATTTCGCCTACGATAAAATTAGCATTTTACCTACAGCAAAATTCCCATTTCGCCTACTCCCAATTCGTCTACGCCATTCCCATTTCGTCTACGATCGGTTTGTTCACTAAATAATCATTTATAAATAATAAAATATGGTTTTGATTTGCATACATAGACTACATGAACCAGAAGAAAACATAGGTACACATAATGAGAACGCAATTTGACAAAAATAGAAAATACAGTAGCATTAAAATGAAACAATGGGAGTAGGCGAAATGGGAATATTACCGATTCTGAGAGTAGGCGAAATGGGACGTAGGCGAAATATGGGTGTAGGCGAAATGGGAGTAGGCCAACTGGGATGTTACCGCTTCAACAACCGTCTCGCCTCCATTCAAAGTGAAAGATTAGCCAGTGAGATACGTTTCAATGTGGCTAGATACGCGATATGCAACCTGTTCGGTTGCTGCGGTAGAGAGCTAGCAACTTTCGTACGCAACGTAAAGTATCACTGTAAATATATTGCGCTGTAAACTTTACGCTGGTATTCACGAGAATTCTCGAAAAATTCCATATGATGTCATCATATGATATATATATATATATATATATATATATATATATTGTCTACCTATATTAGTTCAACATTGTCTGCACTCAAGATTGAGTCACGTGATTCAGTCCTTGCTGTGCTGTGTTCGCGTGATGTTTCGCATGCTAATCTTGCCATCGCGGCCTGCGCATGCGCACCGCACACGTTTTTCACATTGACAACACGCACGCGTCGGTGATCACGTGATCGTAACTCTCCAATCAGGCGCAACTGCGGATCGACCATGACGCCGACGACGATGGCGATGACGACGGCGTCTGGAGCCAGGAGCCGGATGTCCGGCGGGTTATGCTGCAGAAACAGACTTCGCTGCCGACGGATATCACGTTTCAGGTGCAGCCGCCGACGCCGCTGCCGACGCTGCGGGGCTGCGATGACGTCGGTGCGTGTGGCTGTGAGCGATCGATAAATAATCAATAAATAATAACAATAAAATAAAATAATAAATCATAATAAATCATAAATAATCAATGATCGATAATCAACCACAGTTGAGAATGGTGGCGTGGTTAATGATTAACGAGAAAGCGACAGACTCTCTCTCTCTCTCTCTCTCTCTCTCTCTCTCTCTCTCTCTCTCTCTCTCTCTCTCTCTGTCTGCCTTGCCTGCCAGACTCTCTCTCTCTCTCTCTCTCTCTCTCTCTCTCTCTCTCTCTCGCTCTCTTTCTCTCGCAGTATTTCTCGTTTATATTTACGATGTTTAAGAAACGACTAAGTGTGTGTAAACGTGTTTGTAAAATGTGCGATACATCTTGATCTTGTTGCCGATAAACTATGCAAAATGAGATAAACGGTGGCAGCACCTCTTCACCTAAGCACCAGCTTATTTTTCATCCGCAACCAGTTTATTTATTATTTCTCCCTCACGTTTGCGTGATCCGCATTCAGAAACTCTTAATTTCTTATTAACTCTTATTAAACACAATTTCTTCATCACCCCTATTCGCAGTTTTAATTTTATCATCATATATAGGGCAAGGGATCATTTGACATTTCTTTAAAAGCTGTAAGGAAAACTCTTAAGATGCTAATATGCACTGTATTTGCTAGCTTGCGTGCGTGTGTCGTTTGCTTGTTTGCTTGCCTTCTTAACTACATTTACTTGATCTCGTATCCTTTCTTTTTAGCGCGCTTTGTGCGTGTTCTGTGTTCAATAGGTAGCGCGTATGTGTATAATTCCGTATGAGTGTCCATCAATGATCATGTACATGATGCAGTGCACCTTTAATTTACATTGTAACATGGCAAGATTTTAAATAGAGGAAGTGTTTCGCGAGCGCCTAAAGCGTGAAGCATGAAGGATGGTCTGGGGGGACCTCTCCCAGAATTTTGTTTCAAAATCCAGCGTACACGTGCCCGTGTATTTACGCGTGCGTGTGTACATCTATTTTCTCGTGCGTGCGTATCGCGCGCGTGCATATGCGCATGCTTGTCATGAGATGGGCATGAGGCATGCACATCAAACCGCCTATAGTGGTGCTGCAAGGCATTTGGGTCTGGAAGAAGCAATGAAAGAAACGTTCTTGATATTTAAACCCTTGTTGTTGCCAAGAACACAAACAGCCCTCTGGTTTAAACGAACGAGTAATTCACGAATCATTAACGAATATTTCGTACACCCGCACGATGTCATTTCAAATTTTACGATGCATTTTTTTGTTACTTTTTATTATTTTTTATTTTTATATAGTTATAAATATATCATACTACGTACACTCCTACCAACTTGTAGTTAGCTCTACATAATTCCTTTATATCGAAGAGAGGAGACGAGTGGCACTTTGAAATGACCATTTGAAACCTCGCTTCACGTCCGTTGACAACTTGACACAAACTCCCACAGTAACCACTGAGCTGTATAAATTGATTAAATTCACATATATTATATTATATATGTGTGTATGTATTATTGTTATTATTATTATTATTATTATTATTATTATTATTATTATTATTATTATTATGCGTGTATGTCTATGTTATTATATACAGCTCAGTGGTGCTAACGTAGATATAGCAGCGAGGTACCTTCAATACATTCTTTACCTACCTACAGGTGGCGCACAAGTCGTCAGACTAACTCATGCATGTCATCGATGTAAACATTAGTTTACTCTCACTGTCTCAGTAGTTGTACAACTTTTACGGTCGTCGTAAGCAATAACGTCCTAATGGCAAACCCGTAATTGGTAGGTACAGGTGAATGGACTAATCTATAGGTAATCGTGCTGTACTGTTAAGTCCGTAGCAACAGTTTAACTCATTAATACTCACTGAACAGTAATTATTTGAGGGCCCAGCCCAGCGTCGGATTAACAGTTGCCTGGGCCGGGAGCATATCAAGATATATTTGGGCCGCCCATCCACCCGCCCCCTTCCCATAAGCATATAATGTTTTTAGAACTGTTTAGTGGATAATTATAAGCAATTAATGTTGAAAAATGGAAAGGAAACGTTCTAAAATAATTAGTAGAGTTAACATTTAAAAAAAATCACATTTTGAAAAATTGGTAGTTTTAACCCCACTTAGGCCACTAGCTACCTTAAAGTGAATAATATTCCTAGCTGCTGCAATGTACACCGCAAAACACGGAGAAAATGAAAACAAGTAGAAAGCAAAAACAAATTGTAGTCATATGAAAGTCGTAGGGCCGGCCCAAGATATACTTTGGAAAAAATAATACACTGTATATTTTTTTTTGGAGTCACAACACTTTAGGGCCGGTCGACTTGTAGGGCCGGGGGCAATTGCCCCCTTTGCCCCATTGATAATCCGCTACTGGCCCAGCCGCTTACCTCTGAGAGGTGTGGCAATGCCATATTTTCCGGGCTAGTGTTAGTATTACTTCATACTTGGTATCCAGTGGAAGTGATGCAAGTGTAACTGAAATGATATGGAAGATGGCCAAATATGTGTATCAACACTTGTTCAGTCTCTGTTGATGAACTAGTACTAGCCAGGTATTGTGATAGGTTAGAATTATGGATTAGAGTTGTTCACGCGCTGTTCGCTTTTAAGTTTTAGTTATGCCCATTACAAATTTGTATTTGATGCTTTAAAGGCATAATCCGACCATCGATTATGCAAAGTTGACGAATGCTACAGTAACTGGCACCTTGTGTAGTTAATAAGTACATTACCTTATAGCCAAACGCGTATTAGTTTGTCCAATATCACTGCTGGTTACATAATATATAGTATATATATATAGTATATAGAGAGAGAGAGAGAGAGAGAGGAGAGAGAGAGAGAGAGAGGAGAGGGAGAGGGAGAGGAAGAGAGAGAGAGCTTTTACTATGTTAAGCAATAAGAACATTTGATTAATGGTGCAGTTCTATGTACATAGACCCACACCCCCTGCAGCATATTATAATTATCTAAAACTTCTGAGCATATGTGTACCAGACTCGCTAGTCACCTTTTGAATTGACTAACTCTCATGCCTGGTTTTTAACATTAAAAGACGGCGGACCCAGTTTAAGGTCGACTGCACTTTTTTCAGTAAGAATTCCTTTCTAATGGCACTTACAGTCTCCGCTAAACGCCGACCTGTCTACGCATTATGGTTTATGCGGCTGTGATTCACGCTACGAAAAGGTGTAAAAGTCGTCACAGTCTTAATAAAGCCCTTACTATTTAAAGGTAATTTGATTCGCTGCTTGAAGTCGTGGATGCGATCATCACAAGTACACTAATTACAATCGTGAAACACCACTAGCTGAGATGCTGTAGTAGTTAACCTCGTCACGGACTGCAATGTCAACACAATAGCATCAAGAGAATATTAATGTAACCTTTTTGGCATAAGAATGCTAATGGCTCCACTTCGATGGATAGCAGAGCATTGTACATGTGGCAAGTTCTGGCACACCTCCGTACCTTCCTCAAAGTCTGAGAATCATGCAAACGCAATTAACTTAGTCTCTGAATCCAACATAATAGTCATTAAATCAGGTATGTGTAAACATATGTAGCGAACTTGATAAGGCTATGTGGCTAAAGCCTGAACCAAGCAGCTTAGGTATTATCAGTTGTACAGGTCATGCAGGCGACTGCTATACTATATCCCCCGGTACGCTCTGTGTACACCGGACGTCAACGTCCGGTAACCCGTACGACGTACGTAACGGTACCGGTACACTGCTATAACATACCCGGTACACTGCTATACTATAACCGGTACTGCTATAATCCTATACATACAGGTAGTGGAGAAACCCATAGACGAGAGGAACCCATTTGGCATGCTGAATTCCATAAGAAAACTGATAAAGGAAAGTAAGTGAGGGGGTAAATATATAGATGATTAGGCAGGACTACTCTTGCCTGTAGCTTCCTCTACACCTTGCTAGCTAATCTACCTAGATCCATTCTTCTTCCATGCACTCCTATATATTACCTACCTTTATGCTATACACGCTATAATTCAAGCTGCTCCATAACATGATACAGTCTACTCTTCCCCTAGTTCTCTCCAATAGCTACTCTATACCCACGTCATCTTAGTCAATCCATTCTCTTTTGTATCATTTCTTCTTCCAGTCATTCTACTTTATGCCTTTACCCATTTAAGTCTGCATGCCACCCTCTTCTCAGCTTTTCCCACCTGCCCTAGATGGCTTCATTATCTTATACCTATGCTTTCTAATATAGTCATCCTTGATTGCTCTAACCATGCAACTCCTTACTTTCTCTACGGCTATCCTGTCCTAACTCTTTACCCAGTCTAGTATTTTCTATCCTTACTTAATTTCACACTATTAGCTAGTCATTAATTATAATAATAATTTAAAGGCTTAAAGCATCAAATACACAATTTGTAATGGGCATAACTAAAACTTAAAAAGCGAAGCAGCGCGTGAATAAACTCTAATTCCCACCATAATTCTAGTAACCATCACAATACCTGGCTAGTACTAGTTCATTCAACAGAGACGGAACAGTGTTGATACACATATTTTGTCCATCCTCCATATCATTTCAGTTACACTTGCATCAACTGTCCGACTGGATACCAAGTATGAAGTAATACTGAAACCACTAGCCGGCGGAGAAATATGGCATTGCCACACCTCTCATGAGGTAAGCGGCTTGGGCCAGTAGCGGATTATCAGATGGGGCAAAGGGCAATTGCCCCGGCCCTACAAGTCGGACCCGCCCCAAGTGTTGTGACCACAAAAAAAAATATACAGGTGTATTATTTTCCAAAGTATATTCTTGGGTCCGGCCTAACGCCTTTTCATAATGACTACAATTGTTTTTTTGCTTTCTTACTTGTTTTCATTTTCTCCGTGTTTTGTCGTGTACATTGCAGCAGCTAGGAATTATTATTCATCTTTAAGGTGAGCAGTGGCCTAAGTGGGTGTTAAAATCTACCAATTTTGTCAAAATGTGAATTTTTTTTAAATGTTAACTCTACTAATTATGTTTAGAAGACGTCTTCGCTTTCCATTTTTCAACATTAATTTGCTTATAATTATCTCACTAATACTAGTTTTAACAAAAACATTATATGCTTATAGGGAGAGGGGGCGGGTGATGGGCGCCCAACATATATCATTGATATGCTCCGCCCCGGCAACCTGTTTAATCCGTACTGCTGGCTGGGCCCATCAAATGATACTTGTTCAGTGAGTAATGAGTTAAACTGTTGCTAACGGACTTAAACAGTACAGCACGATTACGCTATAGATTAGTCCATGTCAGCATGTACTGCTACCGATTACGGGTTTGCCATGAGGAACGTTATTTCTTACGACGACCGTAAATAGTTGTACAACTCCTTGAGACGAGTGAGAGTAAACTAAGTGTTTACCATTCATAGGTTTACATTCGATGACATGCATGAAGGTTAGTCTGACAGACTGTGCGCCACCTGTAGGTAGGTTAAAGAATGTATTGAAGGACCTCGCTGGGCTATATTCTACGTCAGCACCGCTGAGCCTGTATATAATATACATAGACAACACGCATAATAAAATAATAATAATCAATAATATATAATAAACAATAATACATACACACTAGCTCTCCATATATAAATAATATATGTGAAT